TTGGCCTTCGCTTCCTCCTCCTCCTCATTCTTCAAGGCACCTCTGTAGAATCTCAGAATCTTCACAAGACAAAGTTTGGTAATTACTAGCCCTGGTGACTTTTCATGCCCCTAAATCTCTAAAATCTCCTAATGATAATATGAATGGCACCTGGCACATGTGTGCTACTTTACAGTTTAGAAGGTGCCTTCATCAACTTGAACTCTTTTATCCTCATGATCCTTTATCTTGTGAAGTAGTCGAGGCAAATCTTATCGTCTCCCTTTTACAGATAAAGGACTTGTGTCTCAGTGGAGCTTGGATGAGTTGCCTAAAATATTGCTGCTGAGTTTCAGAGGAGGATGAGAACTTTGTGGTTTTTCCGCTGATGGTTCCCTAATTCCTGCTGCTCTTTGTATTTCATGCCGTTCTCTGAACAGCCACCATATTGATGACCTGTGCTAACAATGAAGACCAAGATAATGTTGAACTCCCAGACTTCTGTGGCTCCTGTTCCTCTTGTTGTACTAGTCTAAGCTGAATTAGTTTGTGTAGGATGATGCAGAAAGTCCAGGCTGGCTCAGCACCCTCATGCGTACAGTGATCCTTTTCAGCCTGCTGGACATCTCTGGGCTCCACTGAACACCCTCTCCATGGGACCAATCTTTGCCCCATCATGTTGCATTGTACCTGGAATGTACAGGTCCATTCCCTTTGCTCTTGTGGAGGGACTCTACTCTTGGATAGGCTGCTTGGATTTAGACTCCACTTCTCACCACTTTTACTTGTCCCCCCCACCCGGCCCCCCTCAACACTCCCCTGGACTCAGAGCCCTGCCCAGACCCAGCGCACCTGCCTGACTCTGCAGGGCTATCAAACCAGTCTTATGAAAAGCATTAGTTCTAGAACCATCAATGAAGCTAAACATGGGCACATATAAAGAAGTTCATAATATCGAAGAGTTCATGAAACATCCACTTTTACCCTCAAGGTTGTGTGGTGTGGCCTGATGGGGCCTTTTTTGCTGGTGCCTAAGACCACTTCTGTGGTAAAGAACGGGGCTCAAAAGGAAGGAACTACTGACACAAGGTACATCATGGATGAACCTCAAAAACGTTAGGCTAAGTAAAAGAAGCCAGAAACAAGAGACCATGTATTGTACAATTCCATTTGTATGGTATGTCCTGCAAAGGCAAATTTATAGAGAAAGAATGTAGATTAGTGGTTGCCTGAAGCTGGGGGTGGGAATAAGAAGTCACTGTAAATGGCATGAGGGATCTTATTGGGAGGATGAAAATGTCTTAAAACTGATTTTTGGTGATGTTTGCATCACTCAGTAAAGTCACTAAAATTCATTGAATTGTCCACCTGAAATGGGCGAGTTTTATGAGATATAAAATATACCTCAGTAAAAATATACCTCAATATTCTGATATGTAATATGCCTCTTTTTTGGCTTTAAAAAAAAAAAAAAAGAGGAAGAATAGGGCCTAAACTAAACATGGGAACCTCCAAGTTTTACATTACAGTTTGGTTATAAGTAAGCTGAGGAATCCTGGATATGGGAGAGGTGTCAGAATTCTAGCAGTGACCGATTCCAGCTTAGATCGTAGAATCAATTCTTAAAATTTGATTGCTTAGGAATTTGTATTTTGACAAGAAGTTTGATGACTTTCATAATGTTCTGTCTTGTGGATAAGATAGAAAAATGTGAACCAGAGCAGTTAGGAGGACGCTGATTGGTTCTCTGATGATATCGACTTCGAGGTGATCTCTGTCTCTGTCTCTGTCTCTTCTTCCTCTCTCCCTCTCCCCTCCTTCCTCTCCTTTCTTCTGAGTCTTTCTCTCCCCTCCCCACTTTACTTTTTTATACAATGCATAGTCACTTTAGAAAAATAGGAACATAGAGAAAAAATTAAAATTGCCTGTAATACCTTATAGACATTTTCAGACATTTAGATTCTTCCCTACTTCTGACTTGCCAAATAATGCCGTATTGAACATCTTTGATGCACTTCTTAACTCCTTGGGATACGTTCCTAGAAATGGAATTTCTAGGTCAAAAGAGAATGTACTCTTAGAGTTGTTTATACATATTGCCCAATTGTTCCCTTCCCAAAAATCTACCTGTGCAATATAGATGGGAGTGGTGTGGATTTTCATTATATTCAAGTCCAAAATTTACTGTTTGTCAGCTTCATAATTGGCTATATTCTGTGCAGAAGGGGAGAGATGATCTTACCACTTTACCCCACTTTACCCCAAGGTCACCAAACAATGCCTGGGGTATTGATTTTAATCCTGGGCCCAAGACGTTAACTGAGACTGGCCATCTGAGTCTGGGCAGGAGGCAGTGGCCAAGATGGGACACCGTGCCTTCTGAGGGATAATGGAGGCACCAAGGACTAGTTGATTGTGAGAAGTCCGGAAAGGATATGATCAACTTTCTTCAAGTGTTTGAAGGGCTGTCATGTCAAGAGAAATTAGATTCACTCATGTAGTTATAAGGGAGAATAAACAGCAGAGATGGTTCTAGGAAGGCAAGATTCGATTTAATGTAAGAAAGCCCTGTCTGACAGAACAGTCTGAAAACGTATTGGGTTCCTCCTGTTCACAGTGAATACCCCTTCCCTCTACATCCCTGGAGATACTCCAACAGGGCCAGATGTCATTTGGATGAGGAGCCATGGCATATGTGTGAAGGGAATTCATCATAAGGATTTGATTTGGAGACCTTTGAGAAAACGTTATGTCTACGAGGCTGTGAACTTGAAATCACAGCTCTGATGACAATGGTCTATTGCAAAGCCAGATGAAATATACCACAAACACCATTTGTTCTCTTAATTGTTTCTGAGACCAAGGAAGTAATCATTGAACCTTCTAATCTCACGTTTTCTATACTCAGCTCAGTGGTGAATAAGAGTTTAGTTTTTTGATGATCTTAACATTCAGTTCAGTTACTGTAGTCACTATGCAGGGAGATGGTGTTTTTTCCAGTAGTGTTTTCCTTGTATTTTATGCTGTTTGTCAACCATGGGTCTCTCAGACCTTAAGACTCCTGCATCTGGTAAAAGGTAAAGGGTGGTTTTCACATACTGTTCATCTCGGTGTAGCTTTTTTTGTGTTTTTTTAAAAATGTGAATGTTACTTTCAGCATTTTTAAAGCTGAACCATACTTGCAGTGTTTCTGAGTCCTGCCTATGTTAAAAAGTTGTACTTTTCCACTGAAGAAATAACAAGCATTTAAACTATGTCTTTAACATTTTATGACATATATTTTCCTTATTTTGCTATTGAGAACTTGAGATGTTAAAAGATAACCAGGTAGTCCATGAAATCCATAAGAATATCTGAACAATTGTGCATCTGATTTTCATGTTCCTAAACTATAACTGATTAAATAACCTTTTGCCCCTCAAAGCATGGTCTGGGCAGCAGCGGAAAGGGCATCACCCCGAGCTTGGTAGAAATGCAGAATCTCCAGCTCCAGCCTAAAGCTACCAAATCAGAATCTTCATTTTAACAAGTCAACCTTGTGGCAGTGCCTGGTAGACTTGCTCAGGTGACCTGCTGCAGAACCTGTGGGTGACAGTAATTGTCTCACCTTGGGCTTTTTTTTTATTTTTTTTATTTTGAGCACCTGTTAGCGTGCCTGGCATTATGACTAGTTCTTTCACATGCATGAGCCCATTTAATCCTCAGAATCGCCCTCTAAAGGAAATACTATTAGAGGCTCAGAAAAGTTGTCACCAGGCCTGCCAAAGATGTCAGTAAAAGACAGTTTCTGGCGTCTGTGTTTCCTAAGCCTTATTCAGGAAAATTGAGGCCCAGATTGTAATGGTGTGACCTGGCCAAGTACGGAGCTTCCAGTTGCTCCAGCTTCTATCTTGGGTGCACCCTGTGCTTCCCAGCCAAGCCCAGGTGCCTGGTGAAAGGATTGCAGAGGCAGTATTTCCCAGGCAGTGGGAGCTCAGCCCCCAGCCCCTGGCCATTCACGGTCCAGTTGTGGCTTGGTATGAAGGGCCTCAGGGAGAAGTCACCTCCGACAGACATTGGCCCCACATGTCACCTGCAGTCTGGCTTCCTGAAGCATCTATTACGAAAGAAGTTCAGGGCCTAGCTAAACACATTTCTCAGGAGTTGCCTACACCAAAATAGGCTGTGTGTGTGTGTGTGTGTGTGTGTGTGTGTAGCTTCAAATTTTTTGAATTAAATCATTTGGAAGACTAGATATTTATTAGAAACTAGTTCTGATCTTCCAATTCTGAAGCCTTTAGGATATGCTGTTTTCTTGAATTCTGAGGGAGGAAATAAAATCAACGATAAGAAACGAGCAAATGATTAAATTAACGGTGATTTAAATGATTGAATCATTAAATGATATTTCTATCTTCCTGCCTACATTCCCCTTGTCTTTTTTTTTTTTTTAAACTTTTATTTTTTTTTATTTTATTTTTTCCCCCCAAAGCCCCAGAAGATAGTTGTATGTCCTAGCTGCACATCCTTCTAGTTGCTGTATGTGGGATGCGGCCTCAGCATGGCCAGAGAAGCGGTGCGTCGGTGCACGCCGGGGATCCGAACCCGGGCCGCCAGCATCGGAGCCCACGCACTTAACCGCTAAGCCACAGGGCCGGCCCCTCCCCTTGTCTTCTTAGATGTTTAGGAATGAGTCTGTGTTTGTCACACCCAATGCACCTCTGAAAATAATGACTTATTACCCTGGGTAGTAAACTCACAACTTGAAAATGGCAGGATTCCAAATTTTCCCGCAATGTGTTTTTAAAAATCAGGGCCAAATTTCAACTCCCTGCCCACTGCCATTTGGTGGTATTTTTGTTTCTCTGTAGGTATCATCATACTTTCTTTTTCTTTACCACTGACATTGGCTTCTTTCATATGAATGCATGATATATTAAATACATATGCATTTACAATACTGTTTTGATTTGTTTGTAAATTGTTTCTCTTAAAGGGCCTATCTGGGGAAATGAGTAATTTCTCATATCCTGTTCTTGCAGGAAGAATTTTAAATCGTTTCTCCAAAGACATTGGGCATATGGATGACTTGCTGCCCTTCACCTGTCTAGATTTCATCCAGGTAACGTAACAGTAATGTCAAGTTCTCAAAGGGAAAACCAAAGTTCCTGTTTTTTCAAGGCCCTTTCATGGCGGCTAAAGGTGGGCCTTTCAGCCTGCCTGTGTGTCATGTTATCTTAGTCAAAGGCCATGTTTGTAAAAGAAAGGTGTGGTTATGATTTGGAGGCTAAGTTAACATGAGTAATACCTCGTGTGTAGGAGTGGCTACACAGTCATGTCAAGGTTGGTTCGAAGCAGCTACATGCTTGGTAAGTGGCTCTCCATCTGCCTTCCAGGTATCTGGCATGGATTTCACTTGACTCTGAGCACATTTCATAATATAGAAACAATCACCTCTCACGGAAAGATAGCCTAGATTAACTAAATTATGCATTGTATTACCACAAAGGACAAATATTTACCGCACCGTTTTTTTGGGATAAAACCAGGTGTGGTTACGTACAAAGAAAAGATTAGTAATAATAAGGTGAAAATAATACTTTGTTAACAAGGACAATAGAGAGCAGTTACTGCAGATACAAAGCCTTGAAAGGCAAGTAGGTTTAAGCCAATAATTTGAGTGCAGGATCAAAGTCATCTCAGAAAATGCCTTTTTTGTTTGTCTGGGCAGCTTTTCTTTTCACACGTTGATTGCTCCAAGTCTTAAGGTGTCTTTTTTTTTTTTTTTTTTTTTAAACCAACAATCCCACAGAAATACCTTCTCTAAATCATTTATTTTGTCTGTGAACTTGAGGTTCTAAAGAATAATGTTGGGCGATCTCATCTCTCATCTCCTCATTCAGTATTGTTGCTCATGTGGGATGTTTTTTCTGTTATTTAATTCTGTCTACTTTTCAGTGGTTCAGGCTGGGGGACTTCTTCATTTCCAAGTGTTTATTTTGGAAATGAAATGCATTTATCAAAAGCTGCACATGCGCTAAAATTGCTGCTGCTGTTGCTAACACTTCACGACCCTTTTTCACTTTCCCTAAGTGCCACTGTACAGCAGTCTAATCATGAACTCATTTTAAGGCTAGGAAGTTAGCAGTGCTACAGTTGGGGTATGCAATTAGGGCTTGATCCCGATGGCCCGCCCCCCTCTTTTCCTTCTTTTTCTTTCCATGCTCAAATGCTCTTCAAGTCAAAACTTAGGATCTCTTCTGGAGCCACTGTTATAAAAGGAGCCAGAATTATTTAATTTGGAAAATTAGCTGTATCAGAAAAATCAGTAATAGGCCTGAAATGGTTACAGTCGTTCCTGTTAGTCACACAGACGTGCAGCGCAATGAATATCTGACCGCACTCAGCGTAGCCCATCGGCAGAGGCATCTGTCTACCGACGTAAAGCAGGCTGCGACTCAGAGGCAGAGCACTGTTACTGCAAACAAAGTTGTCTGATTTTTTTTCCCTCTTCTGCAAGCTTATTTTGTAAATGTCTCCTACTGGGTTTAGCTGTACAATTTATCCCCCCAAAGCAATCTTTCACCAAAAACAGTTCTGATGCAATTGTTAATTACTTTGTGAAGATTTTTATGGAAGGTTCTGTTGCTTTGCAGCTGCAAGCTAGGCTAAGTTGGGTTTCCAAAGCTGGCTGGCCTGTGCTTACCACATAGTTAGCCCTAATCATTAGAATCCTTCACACATTTTTGTAAGACATATGGAGGGACGGGGTAGATGTTACCTGATTTCAGTATAAAACATTTTTAGCAGCATGAGGAGAGAAAATTCTAGTCTTGCTGTACTTCTCATTAACCCAAGAGATAAGGGTCTTTTTATTATCCACTCACTCAATCGTGGTGAAACTCATCATTGTTGAATACCAGTAGCCCCAATTAGCTCATTTCTTGAATCTAATAGCAAAAGTAAATCTCGATGTTATTATCTCCAAGAAAGGAGTTTTGTATAAAGGATAACTCAGTTATCAATTATGATAAAATCGATTGTCACTTGTTTTGTTTGTGGGTGTCTTTAATAAGCCTTCCTATAATCCCTTCAGGAAGAAATATTTTCTCCTTTTAAAAGCAGTATTAGCAAAATAGAAAAGCTCTGATCCTGGCCATTATTGGTGATTCTTTGAGGGACATTTCCCAACATCCATTGTTTAAATGGTTGTCAGGAGGAATCAAGTGAAACTTCCTAAACAATGCAGTAACCGGTTCATCTGACCGTGTGTGCAGAGGCCTTTCTCCGGAGGATTTGCATTCGATGCGTGGGCTTTTCGCTGAGGTATCATTGGGGATCATTTTAAAGTATTTGGGCCTGTTGCTGTATTAGCAAGCAAAGATTTTTATTAAATCCACAAAAATGAATTTAACCTGCCCTCAAATAAAGGCCAACAAAAATCAAAATGTAAATTTTTTTTTTTTTTTTTTTAAGTTGGATAGGGCTCTGTAAGGATGAAAACAACCCGGTGGTGTTCTGGGACTCTTAATGGAATCATGTAAACTTAAAATAAACACTATGATGGTAAGCATATAGAATGAAAACTAATTTTCCAAATCAAATACATTATATTCAATTCATTTTCCCCAATCAACCAAATGTTTAAAACCTGTTAGTTATAACAGCAATCTTCTGGAAATTAATTAGAAGCCTATTAGCTCTGCTAGCTGAGCCGAATGAAGAGGGTTGCTCCTTACATTTTTAAATAGGCTCCAGAATTAAAGCAAAGCAAGGTCAAAATGACAATCAGCTTGACTCACCTTATGACTTTGCTTAAGTAGTTGATCTACTTTTGGGGCTTTTTTGGCCGGGGGCTATTTTAAAGGAAATTTTATCTACTTTGACTCTATCTTCTAATAAATTTTAAAAAATGAAGTACTAGGCAGGTAAATCATACAGGTATCATGAATATTGTCTGTATAAACAATAGCACCCTCTCAGTTACATGGGAATCTGAGATGGAAATGACTTTCAGGCCCCTGGGCTAGCTCATGAACTTTTCTAAAGAGTTCTCTTAGCCCCTTTCAGAATTGAGATAGTAGAAAATTTCCTGTCTGCCTTTGTTTTCAGTGTTGTTAACAAAACCTGCTGCTGAATCAGGAGGCACTCTGTTTTAAGTGTCTCCCATCAGATTCTTTGGGTAAGGATCTTCATGACTCTTAGCAGCTCCTCCTATGCTCAGAGAAGCTCACAGAACGTGAGTCCTTCTAAACCTAACAGCTGAGTTTAATTGAAAGAGTTTTAAAAAGGACTGGGAATTTCCTTGTCAAGAAATGACCCTTGGTGTTATCTCGCAGAGGCTGGGGTCCTTGCTGATCTACATATCATCTGGTTTTCTTGAGCTGGAGAGACCTTGGTAGGGTTTATGTAACAAATAGAACGCAAACCGAAACCGAAGCTGAGATCTCTTTATGAATAGAGAGTTAAGCTTTCCACTTGTCAGAATATTCAAACAAAGACTGTCTGTTGAATGTTTTTTTCTTACTAAAGATTTGCATATGATCATGCTTTTCTGGAGAATTAAAATCGAATAGATAAAGAAATAATGTAATTACATTTATCCATGTGAACTTTTTAATCCAGAGTATGCATGCTTGATTACTTTTTCTGTAAGACAATGATAGTTTTGTTGGTTTCGTAAGAAAGAGTTCAGAAATGTGGATCATTGGGTTAGAACTTAATAGTGTTTCCCATTGAGTCTGATGCTGAGGAAGTGAGAGACCTAAGAACAGACCCTCCATTTGTGCCATAATGGCTGGAGTTGGTATACTCTGTAGAAGGAAGTCAGAAATCAGGGACAGATTTTGTTACTCCTCTGACTAAATGACTAAGGTCAGAAAATTCTGTTTAAAATGTGAGCAAATTTCCTGGCCAGATAGAGATTATCTACCTAACTTTGTCCCTTGGACTTTTCAACAAAAGATTTGTATTTGTGTGAACATTTGTGGGTTTTTTGTTTTGTTTGTTTTGGATAGTTAGCTATTCGTATCTATGCTAATGGGAAGCAGTGACACAGCTAATTTTGAAAATATGTCATTTACTGTTGTCCTACTAGAGTGAGAAATCAACAGGAACAGAGGGGCTCATGTGTGGGATTTTGGAACCTGAATTGACACAGGTGTGGAACAGTAATGAATAAAGATCAATTTTTGACTGACGAGGCATTTTGGAAGGGTAGGCCAGAAATGAGGGAAGTTTTTGAATATATCATAGGAAAGAAATAATTTATCCAATATAAAATAACAACAGTCTGCAGGTTCCCTTGGGGTTGCCCTGGGCTTATCAGATAAGTCAGCCAATGGCTGGCAGTGCACGTCTGGCTTATCAAAGTGTTGTTGAAACACGTTTGCTTTTTCAGAAATCATAACAGCTTTGATTAGTAACAATACATTTAAAACCAAGTCATCTATCAAGCTAGAACATAGTTCTACACACATTAAAACTAAATATCTTTTTGAAAATAGGGATTGAAATACAAATAGTATAAAGACCTTCATCTAGACCTCAGACATGAGAAATCAGCGAGGGGGGAATTATTTGAATAGGACCTTGGCCGTGAAAACATAATGTATTTGGGTAAACAAACAAAAACATAGTAATTAAAATTTACGTTTTTAAGTGTTTGACTTCCTAATACTGTAGCACAAATATCGGCAGCATGATTCTAGTCTTTTATTTTCTTAAAACAAAGATGGATTTAATTAATAAAGGTACCAGAGATATGGAATATTTGTAATGTTTTAATAATATTTTAAATTTAAATTTTTATTAATGATTAAAAATAATTTTTAATGATTAGTAATTTTTATAATACTGATATATTTGTAATATTTGATAGGCAGATAGGTTGTTTTATGAATGTATTTGCAACAAGATATATAATGGAAAATCTTGGAGTTTCTGCCAAAAGGAAACCATTATTTCTATTATATCTGTGATGTGTGGATTTGTAATTCTTTTGATATTTTTCATTCCTGTAATGTCTTCCTTTTTGTTTTTTCCACCGGTCTTTTATTGAGCTCCTACTATGTGCTGGGGATGAAAAAAGTGGAGGCTTTATTTTCATTTATCCGACAAGCA